TTCGAAAGAAGATACGAAAAATAAAAAATTAAAATCATCTATAGAGAATATATATAATAAAGAAAAAAATAAAAGATAAATGATATAGAACAGACTCTTCTCTCTTCTATGATCCCCGAAAGGAAGTTTTTAAAGGAAATAATAAAAAGAAAAAAAAGAAAAAAGCTAGAGAAACCATCTAATTTGTTCTAATCGACCATTCCCAAAAGGCAGACACCTAAATTGCTACCGTCCGAAGTGAATGGGTCCTACGAGACTAGCAGCCCATTCTTCTTTTTCCACGATTCGTAGCAGTGCAACAGGTGGTACGGTTATAGTTTACAAATTGGTTTGACTAAAATAGAAAAAAAAAAGAAAAAAACAAGGGAAGAGTAGAAATATTCTATTCGTTTAATCGTACAATCCTTCGTGGAATTAGGTTTGCAACAACCAAGACGAAGACAAGGATGATGACGACGACGATGAGGAGGAGGAGGAGGAGGAGGAGGAGGAGGAGGAGGAGGAGGAGAAGAAGAAGAGGAACGTTCTCTGTACTTTCTAATCCGTGCCGAGTATGAGAGTCCTGAACATTACCTTACTTTCGTCAAAGGAAGGTAAGATTTGTGGTGGGGGGAAATGAAAGATGTTAATCGAGAAGATTCTTCGAGATCATTCTGCATCTACAATGTTAAAAGACCTCTGAAGAACTTTGACCGAATGACTATGTCAATTCTTAGAAGTACAGACCAATCCTACTTTCTCAATAAAATTCAATATATTCACGTGTGTACCGTTAATTATCATGGTAAATTAAAAGAAAGATATTTATTTTATATTTATTACTACGTTGGTTTTATTTTTCATTTATTTAAATATGATTTTTCTACACAAAAATCTACAATAACATACGAATATTATCATTATAATATATATAATATATATAATATATTATATATATAATATACAAATAATATATTTAATATAAGATACCTTTTTACTAATAATTATCATTATCTTTCCAATTATAAATCGATTTAGAAACAAATGAAAAATATTTTTCACACACACAATCTCAATAAAATAAATCATAAGTATATATAATTTTATATGTTTGTGTATGCGTTAGAGCACATTCCATTATCACAATTGCATATATTACTCTTGAACTTGTCAAAGTCCGTAGAGACACATCTGTTCTATGTTTTGACTGTGTTGAATATATAATACGTATAATTCAAGCATGTATCGAAATGATAATACTCCTGACGTCACTTTAGTCTAAAAGAGAAGAAGCACGTATTAAAAGCGGAAAAAGAAGGTATAGTTTTGATGAGGACGTCAGTTAACCCTTGCCCAGCTCGAATATAATTCTTCCTTCTCTCGTAGAAACGGGTTCCCTAAGTGGTGGAACCTTTTGACGTTTAGCCATTTGCAAATTTATACGTTGCTTCCTGACCTTTCAATAGATCATTATTATTACATTACGTTTTATATATTTAATCAACAGTTATAACACTATATATCAAAATCAATCGTATGATATACATTTAATAAATTTATATTATTCGTATTAAAATTGTCACATCACTAATTCTCTTCAAATCACACAAAAGTGTATATATATAAAAAAAGGAAAGGAAATACTTTATGTTATATTATTCAAATAAGGATAAAGAATTAAAAAAAAAAGAACAAAAAGAACAGAAATAAAGAAAGAGATCGATGATAAAATTTATCGAATGAGAATATTCAACTTGAACGTGTATTGCACAGCAGGAGATCACCGGTTAGAGCATATATTCGATAAGACTGTTAATCAGAGTAATTACGGTAGCAGTTAACGCGAGATATCGTTACGTCATTCCTCCCTCCCCCCTTCTCTCCCCCTGATCGAAGAGGAGAACTTTCGTCCTTTCTTCCGTCGTCTGCTCGTTCATTTGTGATTGTAACACACGCAAACACATATACACATACATACATACATAAAGAATAACATATAAGTGTGTATATATATATATATATATATATATATGGAGAGAGGAGTACTACCTCTCGTATACTCTCCCTTGAAACCTTCTTCTTCTTCTTCTTCATCTATCTAACTTTTGCATCTTGCTTCTCGGTTGCATAGCAGCGGTGAATCCTGATTGGTAGGCACCAATCAAGGGCCCAAGCGTGAGTGACGGTCGGCTAATGCAATAAATAAATTCCAATCGGTCTTCGTCCGCCACGGAAGACGGGGCCCTATCTTATTCTCCTTCTTATTCTTATTCTTATTTTCTTATTCTTCTCTACCGACTGAACGGGTTCCAATCTTTCTCTCTTTTGCAAGAGACTTTGAACATCGAGTATGTGAACGACTGAGAAAGAGAGAGAGAGAGAGAGTGTGTGTGGTGAGGGTGAAGGAAAGAAGGGTGAAGAAGAAGAAGAAGAAGGTCGATGGTAGAAAGCTGGAAGTGTGTTCCTGATGGAACCGGTCCCGCGAAATAAAATAAGAAAAAAGAAARAAAAAAAAAAAAAAAAAGGTAAACTCTCAAAGAGAGACCTGCACCGTGCGTTTGTGCGCGTCACGCACTCACGCGTGTCGTTAATGAACGCGATGGCAGACAATGAAACGAGTTAAATTTAAATCGAACTCGACGGACGAATTTTCTTCCTATTTTTCTTCTTTCTTTTTTTCTTTTTTTTTTTTTTTGATTGATATTTCGATAACACTTCGTTGTATTTATGCAGGTGAATCAACGTTGTACTCGACTTTTTTCGTTATTGAACGATCTCATTTTTTGTTTCTACGTTTTTATAATCTTCTTCAATTTTATATAACATTAATAGGATAATTATATAATTCGTAATTTGTGATTTTTCATTTCAATGATTTTTCATCTACAAATGATTAAACAAATATTAATCGATTTATTATATATATTATATTTTTTTCGTTGTTGTTGTTTTATTAAAATGGCAAAAATCTTGTCGGATAAATACCAAAGAATTTCATATAAATTCCTATATAATCCCTCGGACACGTATACAAACGCATACACTTTTAAAAGATTTCCGAGCCTATCGAGGGGTTTCACACATAACGCAAGAAGGTGCTTTCTAAGTAATAATCTCAGGCACCTTCTCTCTCTCTCTATCTCTATCTTTCTTTTTCTCTTTTCCCTTCACTCTCTTCTTTCCTTCACACATACACACACACACACACACATACACTATGAAAGGAATAATTATATGTGCATATATTCGTAAGTCATGTACGCAGAGAGAAGTAAAAGAGGAAGAGGAAGATGGGTCGAGGTGGTAAGGAGGTTTGGAGGGGGGGAAATGTGGGGTGTGGGGGGAACTGGTTTGGCTATCGTCGAACCAATCGCCATAAACTACAGAATTCGAGAAGCTCCTTTGATATGCAAAACGTTAGCTCTCTCATCGATATACGACAATGTTCTCTACTATCTTTGGGACGGATTTATTTTACAAATCTTTTTTTTTTTTCTTCTTCTTTTTCTTCTTTTTCTTATTTCATTTTATTTTATTTCGACTCTTTTTCGTTTTTATTTTTTTTTTTTTTTTTTTCGATGAAACTCGTTACTTCTACGGAATAATTCGTGTCCTCCCCCCCCCCCCCTCCCGTTCTTCTTCTTCTTCTTCCTTCACCATAATCTTTTTCTTATTTCTCAATGATCGTGACCGTACTACCGAAAGATTGGAATAATACCAGGAACAATTTTTCTATCTCTGTCTTTCTCATTCTCATTCTTTATTTCAAATATATCGAAAACATTTTAATCATGCCTACTACCCTAAAGTCTTTACGAAACTCTTCAAACATAATAATATCGTATTTATGCACGCTCTTCTTTTTATTTCTTTTTTTTTGTTTTTTTTTTTTTAAACGTAACTACATCATTCGATTCTTCTTTATTCTCGAACACCGAACGTTCCGAATTCTTTCAACAGGTGAACACACTTCCTTTCACGTTTATAATCGATATAACATCGTGCCAATATACGTAACACAATATATCAATGTATTATATATTTGAAAACTTTCGACAAAAACGTAACATACGAATATTTTTATCCTTATATCTGAGAACATTATCGGATTCTTTAATTTCAATTTTTCCACACACATCCTGAAATTAATCCATACAAGAAAATAATATAAAATGATCAAGTATCTCTGTTTGATATGCGATACACGATCGATATCATTTAATTATTAATGTGAACGATAATCACGAGAATAAAACAAATAAATATAACGTGATTAATTTGAAAAATTATTTATCTTTAATCGTATTCTCCTATTACAAAACCAACACTAATATGTATCCTATTAAATCATATAAACAGAACAAAAATATCCAATTATAAAACAGTCTGAAAAATTTGATTAATTAATCTAATGAAATAGATTGATTCCTGTTGCACGTGGACAAACAATAAACAACAAACAACAACAAAAATAATTACGAAAATAATTATGATGTCTCTTTCTCTCTCTCTCTCTCTCGAGAAAGAACGATGACGAGAATGACGTGGATGATTTTAGGAGAGCATTGTCTTGTCGAGCACAAAGA